ATGAGCGTAGCTAAATGGGTTTTGACTCAATTTTGAGTTTAACCCTCCTTCCCTTCACCGGCGTTTGAAGGTGACAAATACCTGTTTAATATTAAAAACAACCAAATTATACACTCAAAATTGTATTAGTGTAGTCAAAGGGGTTTTGAGTTTAATCTCCTCTCCAGTGGATTTTAAAGCTAAAAAATACCCTTTCAACATAACAAAACCAAATTACACACTCTAAAATCTATGAGCTTTGCCAAAGGGGTTTTGAGTTTAAACCCCCCTTCAGAGGGGTTTGAAGCTAAAAAATACATCTTTAATGTAAAAAAAAAAAAAAGCAAATTACGCACTCAAAATGCTATGAGCGTTGCCAAAAGGGGTTTTGAGTTTAACCCCCCCCCCCCCTTCAGAGGAGTTCGATGCTAAAAAATACATCTTCAATATAAAAAAAAAATTACACACTAAAATTATTTGAGACCCCTCTCCTATAGATGGCTTTTTTTTAAAGTTTAAAACCCCTCCAAATGGTTTTGTGTTTAAAATCCCCTTACAGAGCGTTTTGAGGTAGAAAACCTCTATCTTCAATATTATTCTAAAGCAAACTACATTTACCAAATTCTATGACCGTAGCTAAATGGGGTTTTTGAATAAAAAAAAAACATCAAGTTTTTTAGTTTAAAACCTCCAACAGATGATTTTGACGATAAAACTTCCCTTTTTGATATAAAAATCTAAAGCAATTCCAAGAGCTAATTAATTCCAAGAGCGTATTCAAGAGAGGTTAAACATTTCTACAAGTGGCGGGGGCTCCATTAATAAAGTGCAGTGAATAATCATCTGCGAAATTGAAAAAACACTAAATGTGGATCAAAAAAGATGGCTAAGACAGATTTTAGGAGTCAGTTATAGAGATCGGTTCTAAATCAAGGAAATCCTATGCCGAACTGGGAGTCTACCCCTTAGTAAGATTGTGTCAGAGCGTCGCATGAGGTTTGCGGGACATGTTCTCCGACAAAATAAATTACGCATAATTAGAGTTGCGATGACATTCTATTAAGTACAACCAGGCGCCACACATTCATGCAGGTCCTCAGAGCAGGTGGGAAGAGGCTTCAGACATTGCCAGTGAAAGATTTTTGTGGAAACAGCTTGACAGCAAATGCGTCGAACGGCGCGGGAGGGTCTAAGTCAGTAAGAATAGCACATTAGGCTTTTGAAATAAAACTTTTTAATACCAGGAAAATACATTGTAGATACCTCAGAATATGCATTTTGTTGGCTTTCAATACCAGAAATAGTGCTTGGCGCTGGGCTCCGCCCCAGACCCCCTTGCTCCAATCTCGGGGAGTCTGCAATTTTTCCACTAACTCCAGGAAGAAATTCTAGGTTACAATAAACCTCTTCTAAAAGAATGAAGTAAAATAAAGTAATAAAGATAATGTACAGACACACACACACATACATATATTTTTTGCGAGGGGGGGGGGGCTGGGGGGAAAAAAAATCCCCCCCCACCCCGAATATATATATATATATATTACCTTTTCATTTTTGCTGTTGGTATTTATTTTCTCACCCAAATGAATAGGCTTTAATAAAGGAAGTTAACGGAACTTAATTTCTAAAATAGCTCACAGATGTCCTTTGCAAGTATCGAAGTATGAAATACTAGTCTAGTTGTCTCTATCTAGAGTACACTGTATACTAATCTTATAAATCTTATATTTAGGAAATATAGATCATGTGAAACACAACTAATAGGACTAATTGATGATTTTTCAAAAGGTTAAGATAATAGTGAACAAATAGATGCTATCTTACTAGATTTTTCCAAGGCTTTTGACAAAGTTCACCACCATAGTTTGCTTAAAAAATTAAATTATTTCGGCATTAATGGTCGACTGCATCAGTGGATTAAAGATTTTCTGATAGAGAGAGAACAAACTGTAATAATAAATGGCTCTAAATCAACACCAATAACAGTAAACTCAGGTGTACCTCAAGGAACAGCCTTGGGTCCACTACTATTTTTAATTTACATAAATGATTTACCAAATTGCATTACTTCAGGAACAAAAGTCAGATTATTTGCAGACGATTGCATAATATATAGAACAATAAAAACAAAACAAGACACAGATATTTTACAAAGAGAATTAGATGAATTACAGAAATGTGAACCAAATTGGAGCATGTCTTTCCACCCAGAAAAATGTCAGTTGTTAAGAGTTACAAAAAAACTAAAACAAATTAATTCCATTTATCTTATTCATGGCAAACCAGTAACACAGACTAAAAACGCAAAATACCTAGGTGTTATGATAAATGAAAAACTGGCATGGAATCCACATATTGATGAAACTATAAAAAAAATCCAACTAAGCATTAGGATTTATTAAAAGAAATTTCTATAAATCAAATAAGAACATAAAACTAAAATGTTATTTAACCTTGGTTAGGCCAATAATAGAATATGCATCCACCGTGTGGGACCCCTCAACTCAAGAAAACATTAAGAAACTGGAACAAACACAAAATAGAGCAGTGAGATTCATAACAAACGAATATTCACATTTGACAAGGGTAACATTAGTAAAATCACTAAATTTAGAAAGCCTTTAGGACAGAAGACTCAAAAGTAAAGTAGCAATTATACATAAAACACTGAACCATAATCTTCAAATACAAAAACAAAATTTAATAAAATACTCTGAAAGACACAAAAATAAAGGCACATTCCTCGTCCCATATGCTAGGACAAATTTGTATAAATACTCCTTCTTCCCTAGTGCTATTAGAACATGGAATGGGTAGCCTGAGCTAGCCAGAAAAACCAGTGACTTGGCAGAATTTAAGTCATTGGTTAATATGCATGACTAAATGCATGACGCGTAGGACGTAATCATCTTCTTTTTTGAAGTAACGTCTGTATTATATAAGATAAGATAAATCAAACAGGAGCATACGATCGAAATTCTGTTCAACCGTGGTGTCAGCGATATCAGATATGTACGGATAGATGGAATGTATTGCTTTTTTTGTTGTTGTAACTTTAGTATGAAAGAGTTATATCCCTTTGTGTATGTACTCCCAGGTTTTGAATGTGAACAGTCTGAATGTTTTAGTCTTCATTGCATGTGAGAGTGTGTGTTAGTCAGTGGGGTCTTTGTTTTCAGTCCAGGAAGGTTGGACACCCTTCTGGGGCATCACCCACCAACCAGCTTTCTCCAGGCATCTCGGTTCTGGGCAAGTCTCTCCAACTGTCCCCAAGTCTTGCCCATCTGCTTGGCATCTGCTTTCAAATCGCGGCGCCATGTAGTCCTGGGTGTCCCCTCTTCCTCTTACTGAACACCATCAAGATCAGGCTCTTTAAAGCCATTGTTAAGCCAGTACTACTTTATGGAGCAGAGACCTGGAGAACCACCATCACTACCATTGAAAAAAAATCCAAGTATTCATCAGTATCTGCCTGAGGAAATTCCTTATGATCCGTTGACCAGACAAGATCTCGATTGAGGAACTGTAGCAAAAAAAAAAAAAAAAAAACCCACATAAAACAACAAAGCAGCAGCCCATTGAAGTAGCTATCTACCCGAGATGGATAGGTCACACCCTTTGCAAGCCTGCATCCAACATAATAAGGCAAGCCCTAAGCCCTAACCTGGAAGCCCCAAGGAAAGAGGATAGATTATGTTGCCAAAGGTAAATCCAGCACTGGGCCAATCCATATTACATTTACATTATCATGAAAATCGACAACATCAAACATTAACGAGTTACTTCTCTTTGCCAGCCGTTAGTCTGAGATGCTATTTTTAAAGGGGGTCAGAAAAATGTGTGTCTACTTCTATAAACACTTAGTCAGAACAATCCAGAATTTTCTTCTATCAAAATATTTGAATATTGAAGTAAAGTTGCAATTATACATAAAACACTGAGCCACAATTTTCAAATACAATAACAAAACCTAATACACACATTCCTCATTCCATATGCTAGAATGAATTTATACAAATGCTCCTTCTTCCCTGGTGCTATTTAAGCAAGGACTGGGTTGCCTGAGCCAGACATGTAAACCATGACTTGACAGAATTTAAGTCATTGGTTAACATGCATGACTAGATAGACCTAGGAAAACGCGTAGGTCGTAAATTTTTTTGAAGTAACGTCTGTATTTTATAATACAAGATAAGAAGAAATTTAATTGGATTGATTGAACAGACATTGCAAAGGACGGAGGACAACAGTACAGAAGAAAAGGCCTAATCAAGGGAGATCAGTGCTTGCCTTACATAAAGCCAAGTGAAAGGAGCCTCTACAAATGAGGTATTCATAGAACGTCATTGTCTCCTGAGTAATGTCAGTGTTGTGAAGTAACATTACTGTAACTGCCAAAAACTTTACGACACACACATCTTCTTTTGTCTATAAGTTGTTTCCATATCAACTTTTTCATTTTTATAAAAACATTATAAATATTGATCATAAAATGTAGATATACAACCGTATCTGCAATTACAGGAGATACAGACATCGTATAATTGAGATAAGTAAAATAAATGCAGTGCTAGTTACAAAATAGTATTAGGTCATTGTTATGCTCATACACTTTTAAAACTCTTTAATGAAAAGGGCCCACGTGCGGTAATATCCGAAAACGTAGTCTAAGATAAAGATTTGCTAGTTCTCTAGCTAAATTTATATTATTTTTTTTTATATACTTTAAAAATATAATGGTCACATCAGAGTTTTCCCAGTTTGGTCAAAACCTAGTTATTCTTTTCCCAAAGTTGTTAATCAACTGTCAAATTTCTAGAAAAATCGTCAGAGCCGTTATCGAGAACCACGACCCATCAAACCAGCCAGGATTTTAAGCCTATGTATTTGCAAGCTGAATTGAGGAACTGTAAAAAAGAGACCTAATGACAATCTTTAAATTGAGTATCCTGTGTCTCGAATCAGCAATTAATTTTTTTTAATACCTAATTCAAAGTTCAACATTTATTAACATTAACATTTTTTTTTGGTTAGCAAACGACATTGTTTATTTCAATCAACATAAATATTGCAATTCTTCATTGTTAGTCACCGAGGACAATAAGGACAATAAAATAATTAAATCATTTAAACTTAAAAAGGTTCAATATAAAATACTTTACAAATTAGAAAGCACCATGGTAAAAACAACAACAGCAACAAAACCTATTTGGCATTTGAATATTGAAGGATGAACATTAAAGAACCCTAACCCTAACCCAGAACAAAAGAAACATTCAAATTAATAATCATATAAATATATGCAATTTAACCTAATTTCGTTCTAATTTAAGGACCTAGCCATGAATAGACTACTTGCTCTCTCCAGTTCCATGGCAATACATAGCAATATGATTCAAATGGGATATTGTTTTCATAATATTTACGAATAAGAAACTACAAATTCTTTGGACGAAATAAACTTAGAGATACGCAGAAATGGAAAAAATACAGATGCCCAAACATACGCTACGCAATTTTTTTTTATTGAGAAAATACATCCACAGCTACATATACTGTATACTCAATTACAATCTCCCTTTTAGTATAAGTGTAGTAAGAGAGTTTTATTTAATTCAATTGACTAGATGAGATCTGAAATGTATTTTAATCTAAAACAAAAACAAACATGTTCACAATTCACTGATTAATTTACATAACAGAATTGGGGGGGGGGGGGGGGACATACATGTAAAATACTAGTACTCTCCTTTCTCTCTCTTCAGGTTTCACATTTTTCATTAGTGTCCTGAAATAAGAAGTCATTAAAACAAAATTTGAATGTCACCATATGTATTCCAAAAACATAAAGTTTCTCTTAGTTGATATTTTCAACCAGTTTCTCATAGTAACCTATTTGAACATTTTACTGTGCCTATCCACCTCACACACTGCACTTATATAGCTGCAACAAAAAACAATCAAAACTTATTTGATCCGTCTGTTGATATTGAATCCAGTTCCATTTGGCTGAACCCAATCGTTCTTGGTTCGGTATGCATGACTGGCATGCCTATACGAACATGCTTAAACTCAGCTGCAAAAGTTACAAAGTAAATACACAGCCAACCGACGGAAGCCCATTCCAAAGATGTTGAGGAGATGTGCATGGCATATATCACCTGTAGATAGAAAGACGTCATTTGTTACCATACCTGTATACATGCTGTTATGTAAGTATGCATGAATAATACAAAATACAAACACAGGTTTCATGTACATTTTCAGGTTTGTCAAAAAGTTCACGTCGGGAGAAACAATGAAAAAAATACTTTAAAAAAAATTCTCTATTAATAAGGATTAATTAAAATTTAAATAAATGCAGCTGAAAGTTAATAAATTTCAAATGTCTCATTTCAAAGAATAAACACGGGGACACGGTGGCTGAGTGATAAAGCTTTTGGATTCTGGGTTCGAAACTCGATCAAGACTGGGATTTTTAATTTTGGGTGTTTAAGGGCGGGGGGAAGAATAGACATAAAATGACAAAATTACCTCTTCGGACAGACCAAATATGGCAGTACTTTTATTTTTCTCTGTATGTGAGAATATACCTGTAATAAAAACTGAGAAAAAAAAAAAAGAAAAGAAATATATTAAAATGTATACAACAAAATTTGAGCAAGGCTAAAACATGAACAACTAACCACTCACATGCTATAACACTCCCAGTAGTCAAACATGCTACTACAAATCTGAAGTGACACAAGCATGCTGAATAGCCTTTGACAAATGGCAGCTTGTAGGAGATGATCGTCTGCAACCATATGTAAATGATCCCAAACAGAAATATCATGCCAGCACCAACCAAATGCACAATAAGCACAGAAGTTTCCTAAGGGAAGAAAACATGTTATAAACAATTTAGACACATACAAAATTGTCTGTCACGTCAAGTGTGACACAGAAATGTGAACAGGATTTTTTTTTTTTTTTTACAAAGCTTAAATCCACTAGCTCTGTCAGTTTGTCTGTCTGTACACATTTTGAACATGTTATTTCTCCCAGACCCATTGGATAAAGCTGAAACTTTACACAATTATTTAATGTATCTAACAAAACATGAATTAATGAATATAATTAAACAATTAGTCAATTATTTACTGGTAATTTTTTTCTTTTGAATACAAAAAGGGAAATTAATCCTTCAGCATAAAGAGACATGGCTAAATATGTGGGGTTTTGTCTCATTACATAATTGTACCGCTATTTCTACCACAACCATTCTCTAATCAAGTTGAAACTTTACACAATCACTTATTGTTAGTAACAAAACATGAATAAAAAAAAAAAGAAATAGTCAAATATTATTATAGGCAATTAATTATTTTATTTGATATTGAAAAAGAGAAAATGTTTCTACATTAATGAGATATATAGTTATAAATGTGGAATTCTTCCCCTTAGAGTTTTTTTTTCCATCTTCAGACAGAAGCTTGTTCAGACAGGCAGATGGAGGCAAGCTTTCACATAGAGTTCTAAGAGTCGTAGACCCAACTCTCAGGACAATGACCAAGGAATATAGGAATGAATACTTAGTATTTACTACAATACAGCACTAATAAAATGCTGACCTGAAAGCTGGCTACAATTAATGCGCCAAGAGCAGCAGCAAAGCCGCAACATATGGCCACGTTATTAAGTCTTGGCGTCGCTCTGCCACTCACATTTCGATTAGCGACTATTCTCCAACGTGTGTACACAACAATTAAAGCTGGAAATAATACAATAAACGTTAATAAAGCGAAGCAGCATCAGTGGCTGATATCTGTACAGTGTGTACTTACACGTATTAAAAGAAATCTTAGACAAGATCACTTACTTAATAAAGAATACAAAGCAAGAAAAAAGGTAAACAAGCAACTCTCCGGACTTGTGGTTCCAGTATCGCTATAAGGAGAAACAGACAATTTTGAAACATGCAATACAGATAACCACAATCCGTTTAAATAAATGTAACTGGCTATGTAGGTCATCTATAACGATCTTATTCAGTGGAATCGATACTTAAGTTTTTGTACTTTTCTCTTACCTGATGTAAGGAAATATTTGTACAACATGATCCAAAGAGGTAGATATAAAGTAGCTGAAAATACAGGAAATTAAAAAAATGAAACTTGCAAACAGCTTAAAGGATGAAATATTTGTAACATTTGTTTTATGTGTGGCCTATTTACGTTAACATAGTTAAAAGTATCGGTACTTTAAAGTAAAACAGAGCACGAATACAAGTATAGAATTGAACGAGAATTGAACGACCTGCGGTGTATCATACGCCGCTATTTTGTAAGGCCGGCCTTAGGCCACTGCAACCTATGCAACCGCAGTAGGCCCCGCACTTTCATAGGCCCCACGCTAATCCTAGATGTAAATTATTGAATTGAGCCATTTTATAACAGATTTTCCACAGCCTCTTGATTTACCCGGAGCTCCTAGAAATCTCATGAAATTGCAAAATATACGAAAAAGTCCAGGAAATCTCCGAAATTATTAAAATCTTTTGAAAACTCATAAAACTCATTCAATATGGAAAACGCCAATATAGGCCTACAATACCCGTAATTGTGGAATCTTCTCAAACTAATGAAGAATTATTTGAGGTCAACAATTATCGAAGATAGATTGAAACATTTGGTAATTCTTGCTATTGAGCGTGATCTATGTAGGAAACAGAATTCTTATGATATACTGTAAGACTTCGCTACACGCAAGGCTCGTAAAGTAATTCTGTACGTAGTAAAGAATGAATAAAATGCAAAGACGAATTTATTTTCTAATACAAACTCTTAATTTTCACTTATTATCCGTATCCCTACCCAAACTGGGTCCTGCGCAATCAATTTCGCCGTATAAGTCCGACTTGCAGAAATAAATGAGATATCTGAAAGACTTCTTGGTGGTGTCAGGAATGGTTGAGCCATGAAGAAAATTATATATATAGATCCTTTGTTTAAAAAAAAAAAGAAAAAGCTTATCTAAGGGATAGAAATCCGCACTTACAACTATATCACTCAAGAATGTATCCGTTATTTCCCATATTCGATATCAAACAAAATAATAAATTACCAATAATTAATCTTATCTTATATAATACAGACGTTACTTCAAAAAAGAAGATGATTACGTCCTACGCGTCATGCATTTAGTCATGCATATTAACCAATGACTTAAATTCTGCCAAGTCACTGGTTTTTCTGGCTAGCTCAGGCAACCCATTCCATGCTCTAATAGCACTAGGGAAGAAGGAGTATTTGTACAAATTTGTCCTAGCATAGGGGACGAGGAATGTGCCTTTATTTTTGTGTCTTTCAGAGTATTTTATTATATATATATATATTGATGTGTTTGTTTGTTTTTTAAATTGATCCATGTTTTGTTAGGTGCAATAAATAAATGTTTAATGTTTTAACTTGATCCGAGAATCGGATTGGGAGAAATGGAAAATAAAGGGGCCTAAACCCTACATATTTAGCCGTATCTGTGAATACTGAAGGATTAATGTCCATTGTTGGTATCAAACAAAATAATAAATTACCAGTAACTAATTTAGTAATTGTTTTTTTTAGTTGATTGATTAATTGATGTCTTGTCTATACAAATGAATAATTGTGCAAAGCTACAGCTTAATCTGAGAATGGGTGTGGGAGAAATAACGTGCACAAACATTTTACCAGACAGACAGACAGAGTGAATTGATATCCGCATTGTAAAAAGAAACAAATGTCTGTTGATGAACACAAAGAGTGAGACACTGATAACTTACGTAATAGTAAATGTGATGGGAGGTATGAAGAAATGCAGAACTGCAATAATGTCTCCCCTGACACCTCCGGATGGCATTGTCGTCACGTCTGATTGTCACAGCATCAGGTCTAACGTACTTTTTATGCTGATTAGAACTGCATTCTTAACAGTTGGACCCAAAGCCTAAATGATTTGTAATGTTGGTTCAATTTAATTAATAAATTCGAAAATCTTGGATCAGTTGTGAGTTTTGCCAATTTCGTCCTACTTTCCACTATATACAATGTGGCACATTAGAATCAAGAAAAGAAAACTTATGAAGCTAATACATACAAAAAAAAAGGACATCTCATTTACTTCATGTATTTTTTAACAAACGGATTTAAAAAACAAAAAAGCTTATCCAAGGTGAAAAACTCCAGACTCACAACTACATGTAGAAGTTATTTTCCTTATTCATTATCAAACAAAAAAAAATCATTAATTACCAAAAATTAATTGACTAATTCGTTAATTTTTTTATGTTTTGTTAGGTACAATTAATAACCGTTTAAACTAGTTTAAAGCTTTAACTTGATCCGAGAAAAGGTGTGAGAAATAATGTGTACTATTATCTAAGGGGACAAACCCCACATATTTAGCCATATATATGTGAACACTGAAAGACTGATTTCTCTTGATGGTATCAAACAAAACAATTAGTTACCAGTAATTTATTTTATTGATTCATGTATTGTCTTTGACAATGCATAATTGTAAAAAGTTTCAACTTGATCCGAGAATGGGTGTAGGAGAAATTACGTGCTCAAATTTTTTACCAAACAAACAAAGTGCATTGATATAAGCTTTACAAAAAGGGATTTTTTAAAAGGCTCTTTGAAAGTACTGAGGACGTTCAAACCCGGAGGCAAAATCAATAACTGGTGTAACTGGTGTAC